TGAATAAACAGAACAGATACAAAACAAAAAGAACATTAAGCTGACTCAACATGCCCTCTAGGCCAGGACTGGCAGGGAATGCAATTCTCTACTCTGAAATCCTGCCGTGTTTCTATAAGGCTAACCTGAGAACCATTCACCAGTGCTTTAAAGCTGACCTTAACCCCTGTAATGGTTCATACTAGAGTTTTCAAATTACGCAGATAGTCTGCATGTCAAAGAAAGAAGGTCAACTATATGAAAAATAAAAACCAACATTCCTCTTCTAGGGAAACTCACCCCATGCACCCACTACCACAGTATTCATGGGACACAATCTCACATGTCTCATACTGTCTGTTCCTTTGCATGAAAATTTTTACCAGATTAAATCTTTCTACTAGCAAAAACAAAAAGGCACCCCACAAGGGATGTCACTCAAGATACAAGACAACTAGTCCACCTTACAATGGATGCTGTCACCAGCTCAAATTTCTGTGGGTTTAGGCTACTGCACTCTGTGCTGTCTCACAAAAAAGTAATGATGCTTCTAGGGCTGTGAGCAAGAATACTGATTCATCATCAGACCATTCTATCAATGGTTACAGAAGATACGGATGGAACCAGAGGCCCTCCACAGATGCATAGATTTTCCTACTCACAAGGACCACCATAAGTTGGTCTGACCCACCTGAGACATACAAACCAGATGACTATATATGCAAAAATTTCATCCAGTCATTCCTGCAATGACTGCTATTGCATGCAGCTGAAACAGAATTTACATCTTCACTGACTGGCTTTTGTGCATGCTTCTTTACTATTCTTCACTATTCACTCCATCCAGGAAGAGCGCATACCGACTGCAGATGCTTCCTCAGCCTGACAATGGGTATTTGGACACAAAAGCTTGCTAAGAAGAATTTGTCCAACTATTTGAGTTGGTCTAATAAAAGATATCAGATTTACCCAGAGAACCTTGTCTGCCTATGTCCTCAGACCAACACGGCTACAACCTATACCCCTGTAACTTTTTAGGGAGACACTCAGTAGTACATATCTCCATATAAGATTCACTGTAATAGCAAATTTGCTACATCTCCTCTACTGGTTAATTACCTTTAGCATCACAAACATTTTATCTTTGCTGAATTCAATGAATCAAAGTGCCTGAAAGAGCTCTGCAGCCTAGTACTGTTATATTTTCCTCATTTAAGCCCTTAAAACATGTCATTAGGCTCTCTTTAACCTCCTTGCTGATAAACTGAATAGACTGAGCTCTTCAGTCTCACTATACAACATATTTTTCCAGACAATGTATCACTCTTATAATAATTCTCTAAATGCTCACTAGCCTTTCAGCCACCCTTTTAAAGTCGGGCCAGCAAAACAGGGCACAGTACTGTAGTAATGGTCTTACTAATACTGTATACTGAGATACCACCTACCTTCTGCGTGATGCAGAAACAGTCAAATGACGGGCTGACAAGGACACCTCAGTCCTTTTCAGCATTGCTGCCTTCCAGAACTCAGACACTCTTTTCCATAAAGAGGGGCCATATTCTTTCCCCCCATTTGCACACTCTTCATTTAGCTCGATTCAAACGCACACTGTTTGCTTGCTGACAGCTTATCAAGGAATCCAGTTCTCTGTGTCACTGACTTGCTTTTGTTATTATTTACTGTCACACTAATCTCTCCCTCAACTCCACTCTCTCACAGGTCAGCATGGTTTACAGATGGCCTGAGAGAAATGAAGCGAAAGGAAAGACAGCTACAGTACATGGAACTGAAGACAGATGGATTTCAGCTAACAGGATTTTTAAGCCATATGCTGTAGTGGCTATGCAGGAAGTAAAGAAATATTTCTTTGTTTCAACAGAAGCTCTTGTCAGTCTCACACACTTCTTTCCCCACCATTGCGCTTCCCTTCCTATATAGATATATACATTTTAAAGGTCTCAAGTTTATGAGGCTATAGATAGATATAGATATATATGGGAAATGCATCCCTTTAATGCATCTCCTCCCCACCCAATCAAATCCTAAGGATTCTAAATTACTATAAACCAGGTATAAAAATACATTTTAATCATGATGCTCCAACACTTATTTGATTGCATATATTCACCTTGATTAGGATTAAGAACTATACATTTTGAAAAGGCATTTAATAACAATTTAAACTTCAGAAGACTTGATTGAGGGAATTACAGGATTCAGGAACCAGGGTTTAAAGGCAGCCAAAGGGTAGGTTGCAGGAATTTCAAACACCCTTTCTGAAACAAAATGCCATTGTTTTCCAAAGAGATTTATAATAGAAAACCTCTCACTTAAATTAGGTTATTTAAAAAAATAAACTAATAAAAATTCCTTCTGAATAAGCCAGTACAGTCCCTTCACATACCTTGTACATAAGCAGAATACGAACCCAAATAAAATGAACTTTGGGGTTTGATTGTTGGCTGTAGGAGGACAAGCAGATTCAGCCTTGTAAACTCAGAAGTGAAATGTCTCTAGAGCTATTTCCCTCCCTTTTATCACTGATTTACCACTGAGGTCATCATTTGTTCAGAAGAAATAAAACACCTCTTGGTTTACCTGTAACTCTTGCAAGCTGAGGGCAAAACATAACCAAATCACCATCTTGAAAGCAGCAGTATTTGAATGAAGTGTCTCCCTCTATAAATAAGCTCTTATGTAAATAAGCAGGCAATTAATTTTTAAAAATCTTGACTTTGCCTCTTTCTCTCTCTTTCAGTTACAAAAGGGCATGGCGTACCCACACAGGATGAGGAAAGGATTCTGCTAATGTAAAGCTTAAACGATTCACAGGACCAAGGAGAAAGACAATACTATAGGTTAAGACCAGCCTAAGATTCTGGATGAAACTTCCTGTGCAATTCTCCTGTGTAATACTGTGCTACCCATTTTGAAAGGAAGGCAGGAGGTTTTCTTTTGTACCACTCTCCCTGTCTAGATACAGGTAAATCATGACTTCTAGAAATACCTGAATAGCAAAAAAAAGAGTCTATTAAAGATCTTGTTGCCTTGGGAACAAGCTAGTATCTGTAGAGTAAAAGGTAACTGCCTTAGGAGGAGGGTTTTTCCTATACATGGTCATCTGATGACTGCCTTCATGCTGCACTAAGACATCACTGTGCCATACCATCAAAATACTCCCTAGAGTTTTCATGATCAGATTACAAACCTTTGCAGAGAATTACAGCTTCCTTCAATAACTCTGTTTACCTAGTAGTCTACTTTATCCCTTCGTTTTAGCTCTAACAAAGCATTTGTTTCAGTTACATTGGTAAACAAATTAATATACTTCTTCAGTTCTTCACCTCTGAGGCCATAGACGCTTTGTTCCCCCACAGAAAACAAGGCTTGTCATGTACAATAGGATTCCAACCTGCATTCAGATCAATGTAAGCGGGCCCCTACACTTACATAAAGCCTTGATGAAGTTAATATGGCCCCATATGGGCACAGGAGTTTCTCTGAACAGATGTAAGAATGTGGGCTAAAAGATGTTAACGTCCAGGCCAGCCTAATCCTTAATACCAGTGCATCACAGTGACCCCTGTTCTTAGTCTTCATGTCTCTAAATCTGGGAAGCTTGGGTATACTCATAATGAGTCTGACTGAGGGATTAAAAATGGAAATAGACTCTAACCATCTCCTAGCCAGTCTCATTAATTTTCATGGTAGGCCTCCCTTGCTGCTTAGTAATTTCTCACCACTTGCATCAAGATCTGATGTAATCTTGAAATGGGAACTGTTATATAATGTGCTTGAGATGATCCAAAATAAATTTCCAGAATTAGAAATAATAATAGTAGGTGATTTTAAGACTAGAATTGGTGACACCCGTGATATTAAAGTGTTATAAAAGGAATATGGGGAATCCCCCCGGCAAATTTATGTGATAAGAAATTAAATGAAGGAGGGTAATGGCTTTTGAAATTCAATGCAGGAGGGAATATTAGAATGCTTGACGGACAAACTGGTAAAGATGTACCTGGGGCATTCACATCTGTTACATCTAAAGGGGCAAGTGTGATAGATTATATATAAATAGAACCACAAGCAGGGTACAAGTATAAATCATTTCAAAGTCTACCACGTATGGAAAATGATCACTTCCCTCTCCTTCTACAAAATCCATTAGAATCATACGGGGAACCTCCTCCAAAACCTATACATCTAGCCCCCAAATTAGAAGTAGCCAATAGAGAATTTGATGGAAAAGTAAGTTACAAGATAAATGTGTTGTTCTATTCAAAGATACTCTCTCAGGCCACTTACGCCATATTTGCCAAGTACAAAAACCCCAAAAATCTATTACTTAAATATGAAGCAGTTAGAAAATGCCCTCACAAAAGAGTGTGCCTTTGTTGGGAATAGGCAGTGCCAGTGGCACAAACCTTGGTTTGATGAAGACTGCTCTAAAGCTAAAGATGCTTTAAGGGATGCTTTGGAGAAATAGAAATCTAAAAATGACTGTGCTAGTTTCCAACAGATCAAGAAGATTAAAATAGACTATAAAAAATGAATAGAGTGAAAGAGGAAACAATATTAAATGAGGCTATGGGAGGAACTGGTAGTCTCAGGGAAAAATAACAATAACCAATGTTTTGGAAAAATTAGTTCCTGATTTACACATTCCTGAAGATGCACAGACTTAAAAAAAAAAGTTTAACAAATTACTGACAGATAGTGAAGGAAATGGTGGCTTCTCACTGAAGGAAGTTTTTTTTTTCTATTAAACTACAAACAGATCATTCTCTCACCTCTGAATCTCAAATAAAATCCTATTATACTTACTGAGAAATGGAAAGGCCCCAGGCCTTATCTTCTTCTCCCAGAAATCTTCAAGGAATTTATTAACTAGTGCTGTCAAATTTCCCCCAAAATGTTTAATATAATTATTTTAGAAGGCATTTATCCAAAGCATTAAAATGAAATTATAACAGTCCCAATTTTTAAAAATGGCAATAAGAGGTCCTGTGTTCCATTGCCCCATTACTCTCAGATACCTGCCAAAATACTTGGGAGATATTTAATTTTCACCTTTAGACATGGATTTCTGAAAACAATATTTTGGGAGATGAGCATGCTTGTTTTAGAGAAAGCTATTTTTGCATGGACCATTGCTTAGTGTTGCCCTATTTAGCATCTAAATACATAAAAAGACATAATCATCTGTATATAGCCTTCATAGATCTCAAGGGAGCTTTTAGCTCTGTAGAAAGATTAAAATCATGGAAGATACTGGCAATAACATCAATGGATAAAGCTCTCTTAAGACAAATTATTACTTACTATTTAAATACAGCATCTAGAGAGCATTACGGGACTGGCAGTGCCCTGTCCAATAGTTTCTCAACTCAGATAGGTACCACAAGGATGTTTGCTTCCTCCACTGCTTTTAAATCTATTCTTGAATGTTCTAAAACAGGTGCTAACAGGGAATCAGTTCTATGCACCCATGATTTTGAATTACTATATCCCTCTCTGGCTTTACGCAGATGACATATTAATAATGTCACAATCTGAAATAGGCCTCCAAAGACCCTTTTTAGAAGGGTCTTTTCAGAGACCTGATGAAGAATGTCATGCATTCAAAAACTTCTCTAACTTTATCTCAGCTACATAGTTGGTCCAATAAAAGATAATCACCCTAAGAAATCCTTGCCTCTTGCATAACTTCTGAACCATCGCAACCACAACATCACTCTTACACTACCATTAAATACCTTGGAATCTACTTTAGCAAAAATCTGAGCTGGAATAAGTACATCAACGATGTAAACAGAGTAAAACAAACTTTAGGCAGGGTTGTA